ATTTCTACATAATCACTATTTAACTCAATCGCACACAAGCGCTTCTGGTTTATATTTAATGGGGCAAAAGTGAAGCATCAACAAATGTACACGCCAACATTTATAGCCCAAACTAATTTTGCATGAGTGTTCCTGTCGGCCAAACGCTTAGCTGATTTATTTTAGCCGAGCAGCATTTGTAGTAAAAAAAAAAAAAAAAAAGCTCGAAAGACTCTGTATCACAAACTGACCCAAGTGAAGCCTATGGTGTCATAATAACCAATAGTGAGAGCAATTATTTGTACAATATACTTCTCAAATACTGTATACTCATAATATAAAAGGTAATATAAAGGATTATTTTGGGACGTCTTTTTGTAATTTTTGCACATCTTAGATTTGGAGTGGTCATAAGATATTCAGGTTTAAAAGGTCAAGTTTGAGATCACAGATATTGAACACACTGAGTGACAGCCCTTTATACTCTCAAACTTACAAATACATTCATAAAAAGTTACTTGGTGACTATATAACATCCATTCCAGTCTTTTAATGTAAAGCCCTGAAGTCTATTGCTTAGTATTTTACTTTAAACCTCGATGTACAGACAGATTTGTGCTGGTTTAAAGTCCTTCGATGAATGCTCTTTTACAATGCACGTGGCATGACTCATTTTCTCTTTCTTGACTGTGCACTCAGCAAATCCTCAGGTATCCATTAGTGGATTATTACACTGTCCAGTAAAGGAACCAATTTAGCTGGGACAGCTCTGCTGAGCAGCACAGTACGGAGTGCTTTCAGGGCAAATTGTGGGCCCATCCAGCGCCCTCCTTGCATATGCTGTACATCACCACTGACGTGGACTAATTAAGATGGAAAAACGCACGCAAGAGAGACACACAGAGCTTCTGAGGGGGACAAAATTCATTATTCAGAGCAAGATTGCTATGCTTTGAACATTTTGGATACCTAGAAATAGGAGTAGTTACAATGAGTCATTTATTGGTCATTTCATCCGAAATTTGTAAAAATGAAAGGTATTCTGCAGAATTGGCACCTTAATTTGGTGGAAGGGTTTGAGTCCTCCGATGAACCTGGAGGATATGTTGTTAGGGAGTTAGGCATGCCCCCTAGTAGGGTTTCACCTGGCACGTAGGTCCAACAAAGAGCAAATAAATCTTTTTTTGATGACGCAAGACCTCAATAACTCAGTGAAGTCTGGCTGGACCACTTTAAGTCCACATCAACCAACCCTACAACTGATCATGTGTTGCTGTTTTTTTTAACTTGCCCTCCGTCGTTCTTGAATTATGTTTACTGAGTGTTTTACTGTTGTTCTCTAAGAAAAATGTAGAATAATGAAAAGCTTAAATATTATTCATGCAGAATAAGTTGTATCTGACTTTAAGCAGGTAAATAAGCAGATCAGGGACTTGTAACCGCAGAAATAACATTAAGTCATAAGGAGCAAAATTTACCTGTACATTAAATAGAGCGATGTATATTTATTTTGTAAGAGGCAACAAAAAAAAAACGTTTAAAATATTGCATAGGTCATAACATGTTCGTTACTTTCTACTGTAGGGTATGTTAATCGATACAGAGTTCCAGTAAGTTTTAAATGCAGACAGTAATAAAATATTTCACAGCAGACCGCACACCCCCCTTAGCACATACCCAGAAAACACAAATATATTCACTCACACAGCTCTCTTGAAATGCATGAATGTTTTGTCTTTTTTAGTGTGGAGAGTAAAACATTTCTACAAAGGACGGGGAGCCGTTGTAAAGATTTTTTAAAGTTCAAACTAGAATATTTACCAAGAATATGAGAGTGGTGGTATCATGCTTTTTCCGTCTACAGATTCCTTCATGAATCTGTAGATTTTTTTTATCAAATGAAGCAAGAAGTCAAACTGTTTTACATTGACAAAGAGAAGCTTCTGATACAGTACAGAAAATGTGAAGCAATCATTGCATTTAAAGTTTACTGGAAGCTTCAATAGTAAGAATATTTTAAATGTCTAAAACGCAAAAGTCTGAATTTCTTAGCTTTTTGACATGGGTTTTAAAAATTGCAGTCCAGTATATTTACAATGATTTACATAAAATATATATATTTGTAAATATAATTTATTTGAAATAAAGATAAGAGTTGACTGGCTATTGTTAAGCGTATAATGGTGGCTCAGAAGGTAGGTTTTCATCCTGTAACCAGTGGGTTGCTGGTTCAGTCATTTTGCCCTTGGGCAAGGTGCTTCCCCTGCTTTTCCTGCTGTGACAAAAGGGTCTTGTGATGCCAATCGCATGTCAGCCTCACTTCTGGTAAAGGTGAATGAAGAGTAAAGTGCTTTGGAGTCCTCTGACTTGATAAAGCGCCATACAATTGCAGACCAGTTACCATTTATTAGGACAGATTGCTCTCCATTATTAACTAACAGGGCGGTAAAGGTGATGTTTACACCATTTTCCAGGTGGAGGTCCTTGATGCCACGACAAAGGAGCAGCTTTGTTTTTTAGATAAGGTATGCCGATCGATTTTGGTGTGAACACACAAGCATCAGAGTTTAAATAATTGAAAGACTCATGGGTATTCATTCAATGGGACCAATACTTTCTGCTTGTATTCTGGTCAGGTGGATCCTCACTCTACAATAGGAGATATTAAGAGTCTGTTTTACAAATCATGTGAGTTTTTTGAAATTATTATTGCTACTTGAATATCTCTCTCTGTAAATGGATTTACTGGACAAAGATGAAGATTAACACACTTGTTCTGCATTGAAGTTCCAACGACCTGAACACACTTGATATAAAACCTCTTCCCCGGAGGGATTTCTTGTTCAAAACAATTTCTTGTTTGTTTCCTCAAAGCTTTGCAGTGGTTTCTGCTGTGAGCTTGTCTCTGGTCAAGAGATGTTGCTAAATGTTTGCCAAGCCTGAGGCCGTCGGCTTCTATTAGAGCAGAGCAGCTTAACGTTATTCCATTGTGGTCAATTATTGCAAGGCCTCCAGCCAAAAACTCTTTATGCAATGCAAACTCCATCCATCCGTGCCTCTGTGTGAATGTATACGTATTCTATGTGTGTGTGTGCGTGTGTGCGTGTGTGTGTGTGTGTTTTCTGCTCAGATCCTCAGTGGTACCCAGCAAGACAGGCACTAAGACTTGATACCAGTAAGTGGCTATTTTGTCATTTCAGTATTAAATGCATGTATTACAGGTACTTCATAAGCAGCATGAGAGCTAAGTGGTGATCTAATCTGTGTAACTGTTTGCTATTTTTTATTTTTATGTTTTGCCATGTGGAGGTTAACGTGGGTATAACTGGGCCAACTGGTAAATTTAGATTGAGGATTTTCTAAGTAGTAGCTTTTTGTAGGGATGAAAAATGATGTAGAGTGCCTTAAAAAAATCGCAGTCCTTTTAACTTGGTCACATTTGTCACTTTACAAACTTCATGGTATTTTATAGGGATTTTAAGTGACACCATGAAATAGTGGCACAAAATTGTGTCGCTGAAGGTAAATGACGCATGGGACTTGTCTTGGCTAACTATGCTCAATTTAAGTCTGTAATTTAGGACAGGTCTTTGTATGTCTGTATGTCTAAGTTTCACTGTCCTGCTTGAAGGTGATCCTCCAAATCTGGGGGCTGATAACATTTTATGTGGCCCTCAAGACTTTAGAGACACGCAAAAACAGAGCCGTAAAGATAATGGTTGTGTGCTTAAATATTAATTTATCAATCAAATCAAAGCAGTTTTTACTTGTATAATGCCAAATTACATCATTGTGAAAAAATAATTAATATTGTTTAATCTTAAAAACAGCTATTTATTAATATTTTAACAGTGTGTTAAATTCTGCCACAACCAGCCCTTTGAGGACATTCATGATCTTATGTGGCCGTAAATGAAAGTGAGTTTCAAAAGGCTTTCAAATTTACCTTGCTGTGAAAAGTTGCACAGTTTGAATTTGCTCATAGAGCTATTAGGGACAATTATCCCATGGGAAATTCTAAAAATGCCATCCACTTAGCAGGGCACGCTATCTATAATCTGGATGAAAGCTCCAAGTGGAGAGTGTGTGAACAAAAAACTTCTATAAAATAACTCAATAAACATTGTATCTAAATACTTTTTCCCCTTTTTAAGGGGGAAAGTCGCTCAGAGATGATGAGATCTTACAGAACCTACCAGTGGGAACCACTGCCACCATGTACTTCAAAGATCTTGGGCCACAGTTAGGTTGGACTACAGTGAGAAGACTTTACTAATGCACTATTTTACCTTACTTACATCCTAAAAACCAGAGTTAATATAAGCCTATTTTGTTTTCAGGTCTTTTTTGCTGAGTATATCGGAGCCCTGCTCACATACCTCGTCTTCTTTTTTCGAGTGCCATATATCTACTCTCACACATACGCCCTTACCTCCAGTCCCCATCCTGTTGTTACGTAAGTAGAAAACAAAATGTCAACCAAACAAAGCAGAAGTCATCACGAGCCACAAGCCAAAGTCCGTTTCCTGTCTTTGTGCGATTAAAGTCATTTTTCCAGTTGCCTGTTTTTGGATAAAGATAATGATAGTTATATATTTACTGACTGTGAGCTTCAATTTTCCTCCAACCGAGAGCTGGTGAGATACGTGCGTTCAAAGCAGCGTTTTTCCGGTTTTATTGAACTTCCCACAGGTTTATGGTATCACTAGGGAAAAGCAGCGCACTCTAGTGGTGGTAAATTGTAAGGTCCTCAATTTCTACTCGACGACGTAGGACATTGAACTGCAACAATTTCAAAATAGACCATTATGATATTCCTCCGCTTTCTCAGCCTAACAATATCTGTGTTACAGATACAATAAAGTTATGTTTTTGAATAGTTTCCGGGCATTAAGGCACGGAGAACCACAGGAATGTACCATATACGAGGCTATAACAACAACAAACATGCAAAAGTTTCTTCCACTCCCTTAGAGAGACACAAATGATGGCAGTGGGTTGTTATATCTAGTGTACAGCATCTTGTCTGTAGGAAAACAGTGACACAAGTCTGGTCATTAGTTTTGAAGTATTTAATAGTTTTTCTACTGAGCCACTAAAAAGACATTAAAGGGAAAAAATAAAGTTAAAAATAAAGTTTTTCTTTTTCAATTTAGGGGGCTCCATATTTTTCTTTTGCTAAACATTCTTGCATACACGTGAAAATAATCTCAGCAAGATTGATCAAATTAGATAGATACATACATCTGGCAGCATCCATCAACCTAACCATAGCAATAATAAACACATTCCTCGGCTAAAAAGTGGCATGAAACTTAACAGTCTTTTATGGTCTTAAGTTTCAGTAGTTTTGAATCAGGTAGAAAAGTGAGTATGCAGTTTACTGCCTTCACTAAATTTCACTTACTTGTGATGTACCATCTGTCTGCTACACGGACGAGAAGATAACTTCAGAGAATCCCCCTTTTAAAAATCTAAACTAATAAGCACAGTTTTCATTCATCTTAGACCTCTGACCTTGTTTGGTTTTGTCCCCCAGACTGGCCTGTGTCTGCCATACGTTCCACTATGTGAAGAGGCTGATGGAGACCATCTTCGTGCATCGCTTCTCCCATGGGACAATGCCACTCAGGACGATAGTCAAAGTTAGTTTCACTAACCCCTCTGTACAACCATTAGCTACAGGACTTAGCCCTTGATGAATGTTGCTGTACAAAATTACATAATACTTCATTTGAAACTTTTTTTTGACAATTAACAACGTTGTCTTCAAATTTTGTTGCTCCTTTTCTGTAGAACTGTGCCTACTACTGGGGTTTCTCTGCCTGGTTAGCCTACTACATTAACCACCCTCTGTATACACCTCCATGTAAGTCCAGCCATGTGCAGATATTAAGGGATTATTTCCCTTATCCCCTTATTGTAAAAAATATATACATCTGGTAGACTTTGACATCAGGGTTATTGTTAGCAAAACTGTTAACATAAATCTTCTGACAATCACAATTATTGCTATTCCTCCTGTTGTCCACTTGGGGGCATACTAGAAAACTCAAATCTGTTAAAAACTGAAATTTGTTGGATTTACAATGAAATTATGTCATTTCCATTATTGCGCTGTTATTAATATAATTGTTGTTGCTACATTAGAAGAGTGATTGGTTAATTTTGAGATGATGGCAGAAAATCAGCATCTTCGGGAAACAATAGGGCTCATGAAGTCCTCTATCTTGGTATTTGTAAAATGTGCATTAATTGCACATGACAGCATTAGGCTAGGAGGCAGTTTCAGACTATTTTGCATAACTTTAATAATGGTACTACCTGACTTTAAACGTGTATGTCCCCATGCAGCCTTCCCATGTCAAGTATTATTGCAGTTATGGACCCCACAAATACAGGAAACAATGGCTACACAATAATAATTATTATTGTTTTTTATGTGTTGTGACTTTTTTATGTGTTGTGACATATTTCTGTTACAGCATATGGAGAACTTCAAGTCAAGTATGCACTATTCACATTTGCGGTACGTAAACTCAGGCTCACACTGGGTAAAGTTAAACTCAAGACTTCTGATCTGTGAATTTCTGCTTTAGATGTGTGAAATCGGCAACCTCTCCATCCATATGAGTCTGAGTAACCTAAGAACAGACGGTGAATTGTTGATCTTTTCTTTTTTATAAATCCCATTTTTTTAAGAATCAGGCCAACTAAAGTCCTTTTTTCCTCCCGATTGTTTATTTTTCTCGTTTGTGGAAACATCAGGGTTCAGAGTGAGAAGGTTTCCTACGCCAACCAAGAACCCCTTCACATGGCTGTTTTTCTTCGTGTCCTGTCCAAATTATACTTATGAGGTAAAATTTACAGCAACTATGTTATACATTACACAAAATGACATGTACCATAAATTTTTAAAACAGCCGTGAAGTTTCATTGTTTAATTATAATCCTAATATGTCTGTACGTTGTCATTTGACATCTGTAGGTTGGAGCTTGGTTGAGCTTCACAGTCATGACCCAGTGTCTTCCAGGTATGTGATGTATTCATCCATATTTTGGCAAAACAAGAGACTCACCAAGAAATCAGCTGGCGACCAGAATTAGGATATTTCTAGCTTAACTGGCCAAGACCCTTGAACAGTCAGTCTGAAACTCAAACTTCTTCTTCTAATTAGTAATTGGACCATGCGTGACAGTTTTCAAGTTGCAATTGCCAACAGCAATTTCCAGTGTTGAGGTTGTTACTGAGGGAAGAAGACTCAAAATTTGCTATCTCCAGTGTCAGTGAGGTACAAAGTTACTGAAATGTCAGAAGTTTATCCTCACTGTAAGAGACTTTCAACAGTTAACAGGAAGGTTGAATACTTCTTCTTCTTATAGCCTTGATGGCTTATAAAAAAACGCTAAATTTGGAAATGTAACCAGCCTATTGTCTATCGTAGAGTTAAGCTAAGGTTATACATTATTTGAATATACTCACTGAGATTGATGTTTTAGTCAATGTAGCCATGCTAACTGCACTAATCACTAATATAAGAAATCAATTTACAATGTGAACTTTGTAATCATTTTGTGTTCTATCTTATACACATTTGGACATCACTTTTGTTTCTAATACAAATAATTCACGAATGCTAATGGCAAGCAGGGTGGAATCAATGTTTTGAATGCTGTTCATAGATCATAATTTGGAAAACGGTATCAGCCGGTGATAGTTTTATAAAAACCAAAGATCAAAGATCGCCTGTTACAGTAACATGTCGTTGCTTTTCATTGTATGTCTTGTCTTGCAGTGGCAATATACACTTTGTTCGGGTTCATTCAGATGACGATCTGGGCCAAAGTGAAGCACAGAGCCTACATACGAGAGTTCAAAGACTACCCAAGTGTCCGGACGGCCATTATTCCCCTGATTCTTTGATAATTGCTTAGGCCTGTGCTATTGTTTTCTCGAATCCAACACTATGCAATTTTAATACTGATGGGCTTAAAAGACGCAATAATTTAGATATACACTACAGTTGAGCCTTCAAAACCTCCTGAGAACATTTTATTTTATTTTCAGTTTCAGCACACATGGACCAACATTTTTAGTAGTGACATAAGTGTATCGTTTTACCATGCAGCTTTTAGTTTTTGTGCTAAAAATCAAGCTGTTCAGGTCATAATACAGAATGAATGATTGTAAAAACAAAATAAAACAAAAAAAAACAGTTAATTATTGGATTTTCTGCTTGACAAAGAATGAATTTTAGTATATTCATATTAAGCACAGACGGACACTGTTTAAGTGATTTGTTTTAATCCAAATGTGTCCAACTGAAGTCCTGCAGAGTCAGCGTCCTGCATGTTTTAGTTGAGGTCCCACGCAAACTCAGATTCAGCAGCTGAATTAGCTCCTCATGATGCCATCAATTTAGGTGGGAACATGTCAATGAAACTTTTATATCTTTTCTGGTGTGATATAAACATCAGCTTGCAGGTCTTTGGTCCCTCAGGACCCACTTTCTAACACCACTATGTTAATGGATTTTAAGTAAATGTACCACTTTCTCTGTGTTTTATTTCCACTTGTTGCAACATTTTATTTATCTGGCTAGCTTTTTCAGGAAAGCTTGAGGAAGCATTATTTTGCATCTGTTATAAAACCAGCAATTTCCCTGCCAGCATACCTAGGTGGGCCCCATGTGGGGAAAAGGAGGCAGGCCATATGGGCCCCATATGGGTTTGTCCGTGGGTTCCACGATGGCCCCACATGGGTTTGCCCATGTAGGGCCCATGTAGTGCCCATGTGGGCTGTGGCCCTACATGGGCAAACCCATGTGGGGCCATCGTGGAACCAGCGGACAAACCCATATGGGACCCATATACCAGCCCTCCTATCCCCCACATGGGGCCCACCTAGGCATGCTGGCTGTTCTCATTTCATGATAATTCATCAACTCTTTTTTTAAAATGAAGATTTTAGGAATTTTAGCCAGCAAATGTTAGAAATAATGGTTGTTGTTTATAAGTAAGTGCCTAAAGTAGCAAACCTACAAACTGATGTTAAGAGTTTAGTCGCTTTTGTGCTCTCAGGGGGATGCTGCTGAAGCATTTAGTCATTAAATTGTCAAGCTTTTTACTGAAAACACTGAATGTGGAACAACTATTCGAAATCAACATGTAGATGCTTTCACTGTGTAGTTACTTTAAAAACAATTATTCTTTCAAGACTCAGGTTTTATAAGAAATAAAATAAAATGTGACTAACTACAAATAAAGGTGCACATCTTAAAGAAACATGCACTTTATTTTATTTGATGCTTCTCATAGAAACATTCACATTCATTCCTCACCTTCTAACGACACCAAGTGTAATAAATGTGAGCAAACAATCAGAGCTGGACATGTATAAGTAAAGCATTTAGAAGATTTAAACATTCAAAAAGAAAAAAATGGGCTGAAAAACGAGTTTGCAGCAGCCGAAGGATTTTGTAATAATCAGTAAATGTATTTCATTAAAAAACTGTCAAAACTTGGGAGATTGTGATACTTATAATCAATAAAGTGCAAAAAAAGATGAAAAACTAAGCTTGTTCAAGTGCTTCTTTCACAGGGATGTAAAGGCAGTTGAAAAGTTTATCGCTTGGCATTTGAAGCAGAAAGTACAAAGAGCTACGCTTTCTTCCCAGCCGACGGGCTTCGCATTTTCTGATGTTCCTTCGGAAGATGTCCCCGTCCTTTTTCATTAGGGGTGTGCGATAAAATCTTAATTATGGAAGCATGATTAACAATAGTCACACCACTGTTGCAGACTTAGCAGCTTTGTTTCTATATTTAGTGACTTTTCAGACAAAAAAAAAGAAAAAAATTGGTGTCTTTCAAAATTGGAATCGGCGGGTCAGATTTTTTTAAAGATCGCCGATTGGCCAGAAAACTGCAATCGGTTCACCTCTCTATATTTCAAGTCTGTAAAACCCAGTTCTAAGGCGAGCAGGGCGCAGAACATGCAGCAGGCACATACATGCTCCACTAAACTAACTTTGTTTTATCAAACGCAACAGAGGAAAAAAAATTGATTCACACGACTTCCTTCTTCCACGCTTGTTTAAGCCAATTAAAACAGTCCGGTCAGTTAAATATGATGTCAGAGCTTTTTTTTTGTTTGTTTTTTTAAATATACCAGAGTAGAAGCTGTATGGCAGGTCACTAAAATCAACACAGCAGTGAAGCGAACACCCGGAGCGCCCGTCCAGTTCGGTTTACTTCCTGTAAGACTTGATGGCTGTGGTTTCAATGTACCGCTGTGCACCAGCAGCTTTCGGGTGCAGAACAATGGTGTCGTCCTCTCTGGACTGCTGCTTGGCAAAGTTCACAAACACCTGGAGAGACAGGTGAAGATCAGATCAGAGCAGACTGGAAAAAAAGCGACTTCATGTTTTAACATTGTAGTTAGTCAGAAACACAAGCACTGGCTCTAAACACTGTACACATCTCTGTTAAAATTCCACATTTGGATGATGTAAAAAAGACACAAAAAAACAGCATCAAATAATACTAAATCAGTTTAAATTTAATGTGACATGTATCCTTTACAATTGAGTTGGATTAAAATATGCAAAAACGTGGCGGAATTAACCGAAAGAACAAAATACCCACAATGATACACGGTGTTAGTGGCATCATGATGTGGGGTTGCTTTTTATCAAATGCATCTATTTTTGTTTTTCATTGCATATTAATGAAATTATGAAGAAATTCAAATACGAGTTAGCTTCGACTCAAAACATTCAAGGGGGTGAAGGAAAAGAGGAACTTCATTTTTCAAACCAAAAGCTGTTTTTGAATTAAAATTGGCTCCAGCAAATGATCAGTTTAAGAGTGTACACTAGATTGACATTTTTTATTCTTATATGTTTTTCCCATCACAGATTTGTTTGTTTTCCTAGTTGAATTATGCATAACAGGTGTCATACTAAAGGTCAAAAAAGTTTTAAATTGTTTCTTTCATATGATTTTTACTTTTCAGAGAATACATAGAGGTGTACACTTTGCAGGACCATTGTAAAATATTATACAGAGGTCAAATGTAATAGGAAAGAAAACTCAAACTCTGGATTGTTTCTGTGTGTACATTGACCTGGTCAAGAGTCGTCTGGGACACAGAGTAGTCCTCTATGTTTAGCTTGTCCTTGTTAGCCAGGACCATTTGAAATATCCTGGCCAGCGATGGAGAGGAGATCTTATACTGCAGAGTGTTGTAGTGCTTCTCCCTCTGGATGGAGCCGGGGAAGGTGCTCTCCATGAACGCCTCGGCTGGGTTCAGGTTGGGCAGACAGCCGGGCTTGGCAGCCCTGATCTTCATGGTCACCACATAGCCGTCACCGAACCTGGATCGCAATAGTAATATTATCAAGTTATGCTTAACACGGGTCAGTTACTGTTGCTAGAAACGAAACGAGCGTAAAGTGCAACGACTGACTTGTATTTGAGATGTTGAATAGTTCCCAGACATTTGAAGGATCCATTAACCATAATGGCTAAGCGGGTACAGAGCGCTTCACATTCTTCCATGCTGAATGAAATAGCAAATGCATTGTGAGGCAACATCTGTAAGCTCATGCATGTGTAGAGCTCAATCCACAGCAACCCTCAGTTTACCTGTGTGAGGTGAGGACCACTGCTCTTCTGTCTTGAATGACACTCATGATGGAGTTCCAAAGGAAGCGTCTGGAGAGGGGGTCCATGCCTGTGGTGGGCTCATCCTGAGGGACAGGAAGTAAACCACGACAGCCATATTTATAAATGTTCACAGCAGAGTTTTGTCGGTTCTACCTTGAAATGCCGGATGGTTTAATGCTCACCAGCAGCACCAGAGCAGGACAGCCGATCATGGCAATGGCGGTGGAGAGTTTCCTCTTGTTTCCTCCGCTGTAGGTCCCAGCGCTTCGACCAGCATACGCTGATAAACCCAGCTTCTGGATGGCCCATTCAGCCACCTGAAAAAGACAGAAAATATATACTATGTACAGATGTAAGCTCTGTGGAACATTTCATTCTTTATTTACCCAAGTGAAATGCATCATCTCACCCTGCTGATCTCAGACTCTGGGACCCCTCGGAGGCGGGCGTACAGGTGCAGATGCTCTCTTCCTGTCAGCAGCTCGTCGATGGCACCAAACTGGGGGCAGTAACCCATGTTCTGGTGGACGTCCAGGATGTTGGTCAAAATGCTGAAACAGAGTGTGGCATCAAAAGGCAACTTAGCATTGAAGATCGGACGAGAGAACAGATTACTACAAAGCTACAATCCTAGTGTTCACATCGTATCAAATGTGTGGTTAAAGCTGTGACTTGATAAAAAAAAAAAAAAAAAAACTAGAAACAGACTCAATATGTCACACTACCTACTCTGTGTCACCTATTTTAATGTTGACATTAAATCGTATTGTTTATATCATGAACCTGTAGCCGGAGACAGTAGCCTCTCCTGACGTCACGTCTATGTCTCCAGTCAGCATCTTAAACGTTGTGGTCTTCCCGGCTCCATTTACTCCCAGCAGACCAAAGCACTGCAGATGAAGATGAAAAAAAATAAAAACTTATCCGATTGTCTACTGCTGAGAGCAGCTGTTCGGGACGGATTTAAAGAAAGCGGGACACACCTCTCCAGGTGAAACTCCAACACAGATCCGATCCACTGCGGGGATGATTGTTCCTCTGTACGTCTGGTCAGATAACAGCGAAATGAATCCTGACTTGTTTAGTTTTCGATCGCTTTATTTCTGTCTAATCCTCACATATTGAAATCTCTCACCTTGGACAGGTCTTTTATGCGTAAAATATCGAATGTATTTTTACTCCTGTGGATTCGCTCCCTTTCCTCAGCCACATCTTTATCTTCCTCCAGCATATGAGGCTTTGGGCTATCTGGAATCCTATAATTATAACAAATAATAAAAAAAGCTTTCTTAGTAAATCCAAAATCCTGGAAATGACATTACATCTTAGAAAAGTGTTGTGAAGTTTCCCTGTCCTTTACCAGTGATCCAGGAAGAAGCGGTACTGAAACAGGATGTTGAGGATGAAATAGACAAATCCCTCCGTGGCCATGCAGAACAGGTTCTTCCCAATGAAGTCCCAGTTAAAGGGATCTGGACTGTAATCCTCACCTGAGGCCGCGGATAAACACAGCGTATTTGTAATATCTCTTATTTGTAGCTGTTTCAGAAGGATGTACATGGCCTTGTATTCATACACATTAAACTTTTTTTTTTCCCATTTCATTGCTCAATATTTACAGTCTTCAGTGTAAGAGCAAGTTAAAGCCACGTCCGTGTAAACGGGCTTTATAGTATTTTCCTAATTTTTGCAACTCCTCCAGAGTTTCTATGGCTCTCTTGGCTGCTTCTCTCATCAAAGCTCTTGGTAGGTTTGTAGTTGTGCCACATTCACATGGTGTTTGCATTAAGCAATCATTTTTCAAAGTTTGGTGTAGTGTGTGGAATACATGCTTCAAAATTATCCACTACTTTATCTTGATCTATCACTTTAAATCCAAATAAAATACAATCTAGTTCAGAGGTTCCAATGTTGCAAAATAGGAAAAGGTCCAAAAGGTGTGAATGTTTTTGCAAGCTGCAGTACTAGAGTGAATATATAGAATCTGATCTGTGACACATGGAGTGACTGGACATTCGTCGAGCTCAGACATGATA